ACAGGGGTGAGGGGGGGGGGGGGGGGGGGGGGGGGGGGGGGGGGTGGGGGGGGGGGGGGGGGGGGGGGCGGGGGTGGGGGGGGGGGGCGGGGGGGGGGGGGGGGGGGGGGGGGGGGGGGGGGGGGGGGGGGGGGGGGGGGGGGGGGGGGGGGGGGGGGGTGGGGGGGGGGGGGGGGGGGGGGGGGGGGGGGGGGGGGGGGGGGGGGGGGGGGGGGGGGGGGGGGGGGGGGGGGGGGGGGGGGGGGGGGGGGGGGGGGGGGGGGGGGGGGGGGGGGGGGGGGGGTGGGGGGGGGGGGGGGGGGGGGGGGGGGGGGGGGGGGGGGGGGGGGGGGGGGGGGGGGGGGGGGGGGGGGGGGGGGGGGGGGGGGGGGGGGGGGGGGGGGGGGGGGGGGGGGGGGGGGGGGGGGGGGGGGGGGGGTGGGGGGGGGGGGGGGGGGGGGGGGGGGGGGGGGGGGGGGGGGGGGGGGGGGGGGGGGGGGGGGGGGTGGGGGGGGGGGGGGGGGGGGGGGGGGGGGGGGGGTGGGGGGGGGGGGGGGGGGGCGGAGGGGGGGGGGGGGGGGGGGGGGGGGGGGGTGGGGGGGGGGGGGGGGGGGGGGGGGGGGGGGGGGGTGGTGGGGGGGGGGGGGGGGGGGGGGGGGGGAGGGGGTGGGGGGGGGGGGGGGGGGGGGGGGGGGGGGGGGGGGGGGGGTGGGGGGGGGGGGGGGGGGGGGGGTGGGGGGGGGGGGGGGGGGGGGTGGGGGGGGGGGGGTGGGGGGGGGGGGGGGGGGGGGGGGGGGGGGGGGGGGGGGGGGGGGGGGGGGGGGGGGGGGGGGGGGTGGGGGGGGGTGGGGGGGGGGGGGGGGGGGGGGTGGAGCGGCGGGGTTTGGGTGGAGGGGTCGGGCGGGAGTGGTAGTCTGGGGGGGGGTTGTTGTGGTGGTGGCGTGCGTTGTGTGGGGTTTTTGGTTGGAATGTTTAGTGGAAAGGGGTATGGGGGGGAGTGGGTGAGGGGGAAGGGGGGTTGGGTGGGGGGTGGCGGTGGGTGTAGGGTGGGGTCGGGGGTTGTAAGGGGGGGGGGGGTGGGGGGATGCGGGGGTGGAGGGAAGTGAGGTGATGCGGGAGGGAGGCGTGAGGGGGGTTTGAATTGGGGGGGGAGGGGGGGTAGGGGGGCGGAAGTGGCTTGGGGTGGGGGGGAGTGGAGGTACGAGGGGGGGGGGGGGGGGGGGAGTGGTGGGCCGCGGGTGGGTGGTGGGGTGGGGGGGTGTGGTGGTCGGGTGTGGGAGTAGTGGGGGGCGTGGTGTGGTGACGAGGGGAGTCCGGACGGCAACGGTAGACAGTGTTGTAGGGACGGGCAGGGGGGGGCCGTGGGGGGGGGGGCGAGGGGGGAGGGGACAGAGTGGGGGCGGGAGGTCAGGGGAGGTGGTGGGGGGGGGGGGGGTGTGGGTGGAGGGGAGGGGGGGGTGGGGGCGGGAGGGGTGGGGTGGTGGGGTGAGGGGTGTGTGTGGGGGGGGGAGGGGGGGTGGGGGCGTGGAGAGGCGAGGGTGTGGATGTTTGGGGGGATTGAGTAGGGGAGGGCGGCCGGCGGGGGGGAGTGGGGTGGAGTTTGATGGCCGGGGGGGCATTTTGATGGCTTTGCGTGGTTGGAGTTGTTGGGTGGGGGGGGGGGGGGGGGGGGGGTCGAGGGGGGGGTGGGAGGGGGTTATGGGGGGGGTGGTATAATGGAGTGGGGAGGGGGGGGGTGGGGGTGGGGGATTGGGAGGGGGGGTGGTCGCGTGGTGGGGTGGGGTGGCAAGGGGGGTGGGGTTGGGGGGGGGGGGTGGAGGAGGGGGGGGCGGGAGGGGACGTCAGCCGGATGATGGATGTGCGTTCCTTTTTGTTCCATCGCGATTAGCCTAAACTAAAGTTAACAAATTATGAAAAGCTAATGAAAGACAAACCTTGCGTCGTTAAACGAATCTTTGGAAAACTGTCGCTGTCGCAACGTAGACCTTTCTCTACGCAATGCCTGGGAAAACCAGAAGCGAAAAGTTGGCTGGCCAGATGGCGAATATGCTATTGTTAGTCATGTCCATCTTTATTTGTCTAAGGCCATCGCAGTGGCACTTCCGTACTCGAAGTTCCTTTGTTGTCTGTTCATTCGGTGTGCTGGTCAGCACGTAACGTTAGCCGCACGTACGTGAACATTTGCAACATTTTCAGGCCAGACGTGTCCGGCCCCTTTCGTAGCTTGACTCTTCTCAGCCCCATCAGGCAGTTCCATCCTCAATTACAAGGGCTCCTTAGGCGAGCGAGCAAGTCACCGCTGACCAGTGTGCGTTTCATCTCTGCTGCCAGATCTGTTAGGCGTGGTTGTACAAGTGTGAAGCCCCACATGGCATGAGTCACCTGTTTTGGGGCACAAGTATCTGTACCTCACGCACGTCCTCAGGCTTGACTTGACGGGCCCCTGTCCCACCAGTCCCGCCACCATTTGGTGGTTCAACGCCCGAAGGATATTAACATGTTTGTACACGCAGCACACACGAATCGGAGGGTGTGCACAGTAAGGCCACCTTCGCGGTCCCATTTTCATGGACAGGCAATTTGCTAACTCGTCACATGTTGCAAGGCAGCATATATCCAAACACGACGGACAGATATGAGTTGTGCGACCGTCTAAGGTGTCCGGTAAGCCAGACCTAAAATAATTCATGTTGCAGTGAAATACGGGGTATGCTGTTTCGGCAGACCAACTATTTCCATTTCATAGTTTATAATGAAAACCAGAAATCGAATTGTGTGCGAAGAAATTTTCCCCTTCATGTTACAGACCTGAGTGCAGTAGTGATGCACGAAAGTGAGCGGTTTGGTCGGTTGAGCTCCACCAACAATTACAAATCGCACGCGCTTGTAAAACATTAGAATAAAAACGCAAGATGTACCTGCAGATAATCAGCTCTTAGATAGATACACGTTGAACTCTGTGTAGGGCACCTACCAAAGGCCTGAACAATAACATAGGTCAGCGGAACTTTGGGAGGACTTCACAAGAACTGTAGGAAGTATACTTATCCATTGCTGTTGAACCCCATCAGTCTATCAGATACAAATGCATTGTTTCGGAACGATGCAATTTTCCCATAGTCTACGAATTTCTAATGCACCGTCATTAAACCGGACATACGGCTAGGAACGCCACGCAAGCTCGATCCTGCATAGTCACTCACCTAAGTGTTATAATTGCGGTTAATGGAGCATAGGGCCGTCAGAACAAAGACCTTCACCGCACCGGACAGTGAATGGACCAGATCTTATGTCACATGAAACGGACAGGACAGCCGACTACAAACGTTATGGTGTAATTGTTTCCGACTCGAGGCGGCTTGATGGATATGAACCACAGTGGAACATTGGGTGAGAGTGAAGTTCACGGTCCGGTGTTTGGAGGACATTGCACTTTCAAAGCAACAAATTGGCTATTGTAACATCTCCCTCTTTGAATACACGTTCTCCAGACTCATACGAATGAAGCGCTGGGTTCACCTGTAAAGTTGCATAGGTTTAGTAGGCCGCGTAGTTCTCCCAGTGACTCTGTCGCATGACTCTGCGCACGTCTTTGTCGGTTCAATACACTGCACTATTTTTGGCAGTTCCAATGTGTCCGGCAATATATCAAACAGCAACTCGAAAGTAGTTGTTTGTTCGATCTGTCGTTTGCATCACTGATAAACGTGCCGTATGACTGACAACGTTCCGATAGGCACTGCGTACAGCAGAGAGCATTTTCTTTATCGTGCCACTGCAGGTTGACACGGTTGGCAATTCGGCCATGAATCCAACGCGTACACCGGCTCCCCGAGTAGAAAACGTCTGTTCACTCCTGATGCCAGTAGTCGTTGCAGCGAGTACTGCATTAATTGGAGGACATGTCTCACTCCCGAACATGGCTTCCGATGGGTATCTGCAGCCTGGTAGATCGGGGTCCTGCGTAGTCCATATTACTTAACAGGAACAGGGGTATGATATCCACTGTGTGGCCTTTCTCCGGCAGCTTTAGAAGTAAACATTTGATGGTATCCCCGAACCATTCTGCTTACTCGTTGGACTGGGGATGTTCCGGAGGCGATCAGCAGTGCTTGATGCAATGACACTGGCAAAACACCAACATCGTCGGAGATAAATTGCGAGCCGTTGTCGGAAGCTGAGGTGTTTGGTGCACCGAACTGTGCAAATAACGGTTGTGATTTTCGTATCTTGGCCGCTGTCGTAGTTGTGTTCATCAGGTATACGTCCGGTCACTTTGTATACGCATCAACCACAAATCAAAATACGGCCTTGAACGGGACTAGGGAAAGCAATGTGAATTCTCTCTCATTGCTTAGAGGCTGGCATCCAGGGTTGGATGAATTTGCTTGGAAGTTCCGCTGCTGATGCACACATGCTGCATGTGGGGACACAATCATGGATAGCGTTGTTAATGAAAGGCCAATATACGTAATTTCTGGCTGAAGCTTCCATCCGAGATATTCCGGGACAATGTAGGTGCAATTATCTTAATAACCTTGCCATTGAGGAATTTCTAAATAATGCTCTGCATAATTCGTTAAACGCGCTGGCGTTTAGCTCCTCCCGGTTGGCCGAGCTGTTGACTTGGACTACACTGATGATATCGTCTTGCTGGGTGCCGATTCACAGGCCGTCCAACTTGCCATTGAAGAGTCAAAATATGGGATGATTTTTCCCCATCCAAGTGCAAAGCTCTTTCCCAAGACTTTTAGATGCCTGTTCCAGCACTCAAGCTTGGTTGTGAGCGACTGAAAGTTACGGAGAGTTTTGCCTACCTGGATAGTTGCATCACAGCCAATGGAGCTATTGGAGACCAGATTTCGTTGCGTATCTCAAGAGCTCGCCTCGCTTTCTCTAAGCTGAAGCACTTGTGGCGCCGCCATGACATGCGTATATCCATCAAAGGACGGGTTTTTTGTGCGATTGTCCGTGCTGTACTGTTGTACGGTTGCGCGACAGCCAGTTCGTATCGCCGACATGCGCCGTCGCTCTGTCTTTGAGCACCGTTGCTTGCGGTCGATTGTCCGTGTGTGGCCGCTGCACCACGTAACCAATGTGTAAGTTAGATAGCGTGGCTTGGCTGGGGGCAGCGATTCGCTGGAGGAGCTCGTCCCGCTGCGTCAGCTACGGTGTCTTGGACACGTACTACGTATGCCCGGTTATCGTCTTCTGTGTCGCCCGTTCTTCACGGTTGCTGGACAGGCGCGGTGGACAACTTACGACATGGAGAAGCCACATCGGAATTGTCGAATGACGCATCACTCCCCCACCTGGTTTTCACCCAATGTAACTAATGCATGTATGCTGCTATCGGCTGTGCAATGAACAAATCTGATAGAGCCATGTTACAAAATAAAAGAGCAGTGTACTCCCTCGCGCACTCTACGATTTGTGATACCGTTATACAGTCGCAATTACTGTGACTATCGCTCTATGTGTGTATTTGTTTACTGTGTAACCATTTCATTGTCAGAACTGAACGGGTACTGATTACCTACGTCCTTATGGAATATTCATGTTCGTTTTTATAGTTATTTTTGAGCGTTATTAAGTAGGACGAAATGGCTAGTTCCCTTTCAGCACAGTTGATGACATTCAGATATAAATGGTATCAGTGATTCGACGATGATGAGAAGGAACAGTTCGCTAACATTGGCGCAACATTTCAGAATTGGCAGAACACAAATGCATGTAACATAAAAGAGGAAAGCCGTGTTTGTATGACTTTGTGAACCACACACTAAGACTGAAAGAATGATAGAAAAATGGGTAACGAATACAAGAACGCACGTTGCTGGAAATGGTGCTAGTCAGCACTGAGGGGAAAATTCCATTAGCTGGACACGTGATTCAAGAACGAGCATTACACTTCGCAAAAGAATTGCAAAACACAGACTTTACATCGTCAAACAGTTGGCTAGAGGCATTCAGCAGTAGACGATCTTGTGTTTGCTAAGCAAACG